AGCCTTCAGTAGTTTCTTTACATGTACATACTGATTAGTACACAGGTGAAGACACTGCAGATCTCTGGAGTTCTATCTCTTTTTCCTTCTGTCTCTGCAGCTCTTTCTGTTTAAATACTCTCTGCTGTGAACTCCAGCCACCTTGTTCTCCCTGAACTCTAAACTCAGTCTCCTTATTTCAGGGTTTCTGCTGAGTTTTGCCTTGATTCCCCCGCCTTGTGCTACATACAGCCTCGCAACTTTCTCCAGGCAGTATGCTGGAAAAAATCATGCAGCTCAGCTCATTTGCTTCCCTTTTCTCAGTAATCACTGTCCTGTGCTGCCTATTTTCCGATTTTTTTTAAACATGTGTCTTATATGCTTTGTTTCTTTGTTTAGTTGTTTAACAAGAGGGTAAATTTTTCCCCTTGTACTCTAACTTGGCCAGAATTAGAGTCCCACTGGTTTCTTTTTACTGCAAATATTTTTATCCAGCCTTTAAAATGTAGTCTTTTTAATTGTTATATATAGATTTTACTAACTATAAAATAATAGGTAAGAACGTGTAACACATGGAAAGAACCTGGAATTCTAAAAAACTAGATTATAGGTCCATTTTGTCTTTCAGATTATTCTATGTCTGCATTTTCATGGACCTGAGGGCATTTGAAAATAAAAAGTGTGGACAAAATAAATTCTTCAGTACCACATAACTCAATCATTTCAGGATTCTATGAAACTCAAAACATTTCAAGATTTTAACTCATTTGCAGAGGATGGAAAGAGGCTATAAAAATGGTATCAGAATTAGGAAGGCAAAGACAGCCACAAACTAATGTGCATAAAGAAGGGATAATGATGAGTAGTGAATGAGGCATGTTCAGAAATTGGAGGCCCCAAAAACAGTGAGGAAAAATCAGGGGTCGAGGAAATGCTGAGAAGTATGACATAGGGTTGACCAGGAAGCTAGACTGAAAGTCTGCAGATGAAATAGTACATTAGATTTAGCAACCTCAGCAGAGCCAACCAGGGAAAAATAAAATTGTATGTGACATCAGATAGCTAGAATCAAATATTTACACTTGGCATTTATACAGTTGTTCAATATAATAGTAATAATAATAATAAATTGTTTTTTTTGGTGGAAAGCCACAGAAACAGGTATTTATGGAGGAAAAACAACAAATAAGATGCCCATGAAAATCTAGTTTGCACCCTTAAGGATTGCAAACTACCATATTTATTTAGAAGATGCTCTTACTGAGGAATTGTGGTTAGTGACAGAATAATCTTATCAATGATCTGTTTGAAACCTCAAGTATCAGGCTAAAGATATGAAATAAAATCTTTTACCAAAAGTCACAAAGCTAATTAGTGCTTAATATAATATTAGAATCCAGACCATTGGACTCTTAACAGCCTCTCTCAATTACACCAAGCTGCCATTGGGTGAGCTCTGATTTCGTCACATTTTTCACCAGAATCTTCTTTTTATGTGTCATATTTTTGAACACATTATTAGAGACAGAGGTTTGCTATGTTATGATATAGGATGATGTAAGAATACACAATACAGTATACATATCCCTTACTGTTGAATTGTACACTTGAAACGTACTGGATTTTGTTAACCAATGTCACCATAATAAAAAAAAAAACCTGAAATAAAAAAATCTTGCTGAATTTTTGGCTTCTTTAACTTTCTCCTCATTGTTAGGGTTATTTAACAAACAGAAGTAGCTGATTAAAGTATAAAAGAACATGAGACTCACTCATTAATGTTGCTTTTTCACCTTCTTTCAGAGGGTTGCATTCATGAATAAAAAATACAAGTAAAGAACGGGTAGGAAAATGTGGCATGACATTAAACCAAGGACCCAGGGTTAAGCTAACATAAAGCAAGGGCCGAGAGACAAATTCATGATCTTGATGGTTTTGCTTTAAGAATATTAAATTATTCGTTAAACCATGTTGGTCTTTTTGACACTCAAGGAAACCTTTGCATGCCATTGTGTAGAAACTGTAATTGTCTTTACTGACTAGCCAGTGTATTCATCTATTTCTACACTCAGGATTTGCATCTTATTTCTCTGATATACTTTAAATTTGACTCCAATATGAATGTGCATTAAACCTGTGTTACTGAAATTATCAATGAAGTGGTTAACATCTTGGCATTTAAGTAACTATAATTACATTTCTAGGTTAACAGCACTATTAAGTTAAATAAGGAAAGCTTTTGCTTCTGTGTCACTGTGCCACATCTAGGTCTGTGATCTTCAAAAGGCAAGATGAATTAGCTTTCAATTAAAAAAAAAAAAGCACGAATTTAGAGATATCAGTTCTAGAAAGGAAAATAAACTATATTCTAGAGAAATCAGCAGAAATTCATAGGCTCTTAAATTTTTCAGAGCCAATCAATTTCTGTTGCTTTAGGCTTGTAATTTTATTAAACTGTGATAGATCTGGATTCCTTCTAAATTCCTAAATTTGAGAGGCAAATCTACTCTTATTTTACAATTGGAAAGGAAAGAAAAAATACGAAACCATTCCAACCCTATCTAAGAGTATTAGAATGGTATGAAGGTTCCTGTATTTGCTGTGTTCCCTCCGAAGGGTTCAAAAATAAGGAGATGGCTGCTGATGAGTCACTGTTCTATTTTATCTGGAGACTTGAGTGCTCTCTCTCACTGCTCTATTCCTTAGGGGGTCATGTTCCTCTGCTTAAAAGAATATTGCCTGCTCTGTGAGCTAATGATTTGTTTGGATGATATAAGTCTCAGAGGTGAAGATAACTGCACAGCCTTTTATAATGTCTCTCTCAAATGTTTGATCTGCTTTTTTCTGAATACATGGAACCCCTCTATAGCAAGATTAAAGATGCCTCTTCAGAGAAGAAAGGCAAAATTTGAAAACCTAAAAGCTTCTCAGACTTCCAAATAATATTTATGTATTTCTTTGTTTTGTCAATATTATACTTGTTGTTCTGCATTCATATGATAATTGCACAGTAATCAAAATATGGTGTTGAATCATAGGTTTTTTTTTTTCATATTTTATAAGGAGGCAGGGAACTATGATCTTGCTTTAAAAAATGGTTAGTGCAAACTAGTTTATGGCTAGGACATACATACTCATTTTGAATTCTATTTAATTTGATAAATATTTACTTGTTAGTTGGTAGATGTTAGACATTATGCCTTCTTTCATAGGAAATACCGAGAATCAGAACCTGTTTTCAGGAGACTCATACTCTCATTGGGCAGATAAGGTAGTTACAGAAATGGCTACGATAGGATGTAAAATATGACAGACAAAAAGCATTTGTAGAGAAATTAATGACATTCAATTTGGGAACAAAGAGGAGACAACATTCAAGGGAGAGGGGTATCAGGGAAGATCTCAGCATTTGGGAAGGACCTGGCAAGACCAGTGGGCTGTCTCTGGATAGGTTGGA